ATCTTTTTTTTTTAAATGCTGAGAGACAAAGGTGAGTTTGTGCAGGCTTGCCCCTCCCTCTGGCATCTGTCCTTGGTCTCAGTAAACTGGACATCGCTTTGAACTAACACTGAGGAAAGAATGAGGAAGTACAGCTCCATCCAATTTGTAAGAGTTTTCACTTTGAGGTGTTAATTATGGAAAGTTGGATTATCCACTGCCTTCCACACCCTCTACACTTAAGGAGTCGGGGAGGGGAAGGTAAAAATTAGAAGAAGGCATATGGCAAAGGACCCAGGAAGGGTGCTGAGAGGAAAAAGCAGAGGGAAGTCTTTCCCAAAGGTCACATTTTAGGCACTAGTTTCTCTTCAGCCTCCACATAATCAGTGCCACCTGAAACCTTAGATGTTTTCAGCTTCCTAACGGAAACCGACATAAGTTGTTTTAGGGGGAGAGGTGGATTTAGTATTTCTGGGTACTGCAAAGAGTCTTCTCTTCCCTCTCTCCTTCTCTGTTCCTGATCCACAAATCAGTACAAACTTTTCTGAATCCTCTGTAGCTCTCATCTCCTCCATCTCTGGGAAGCCAGGTACTATGGGCTTCTATTTACTTGAGCTTGGGTTAAAGAAAGCTGGGAGAGAGGGGTTTTAGTCTACATCTTCCTACTACTCTAAACAGGAACTGTCTCCATCCCATATGACTTTCGGTTTTGGAAGGCTGCACAATCCCAATAGATGTTTTGGAAGGTCTTACCATACTAGAATGATGTCCAATACAGGCTTTCCTATGGACTATAGACTGGCTATTGTCCGAGCTTTAGACCAAGGGCAGAAAGGCTGTTCACCACAAGTTGGCCAGCAGATAATGTTTTTTGTTTTGTTTTGTTCACAGTAATTCACAAGGACTGTTTCTAAGGCATGATGAGGTTGTAATCTGCACCCAAATGAATAACATCAAGGATTTTCTTTTTAGTATTGAAGGAGCTCCAAGGAGCTGATTTCTACCTCATTCTCCTTTCTTTCAAGCCACCGGTTTTAAGACTCTATGTGGGAAGTCTCCATGGGTCCCAAGGTCCAGTCTGGCCCTTAGCCGGCTCTCACAAATAATAACAATAGTTTACAAAGTGCTTTACATACATTATTATTTCACTTGATTAAATGCCATCACTATCTTCAAAAGTGGAGAATTATCCCAAGCTCATTGAAGTGATCTAGCTTAACTGCTGTCATTGGATGATCCCAGAAACTTAATATCTTTCAGTCTTGGACATCACTGAAAACATTCTGTTTGACTTCTTTCCAGCCACAGTTTAGGGAAAGAAGAAACCCTCTGTGCCGTCACATGCTTCTTTTTGTTTGTTTGAATTTGTTTCAGATGCCTCTGGAGACAAATCAGTCCCTAGCAGTTTGGCCTCATCTTTTTCAAAAGAAGCTGTGTGTGTCTCTCTCTCACAGCAGTGGAAATGGCTGGCCAAAGCACCTGAGGTGGGAATGTAGCATCTGTCATTACCTCCATCTCCTGATAGCACAAAAAAAATAGTTCTTAGTTCATCTCCACTGGTTCTTCCTAGAAAATCAACCCAGAGTCATGATCCTCAGAAATGATTTGCAAGAAGGGACAACAAATTCCCTACTTGAACAATGGGGAGAGAGAGAGAGAGAGAGAGAGAGAAGAGAGAGAGAGAGAGAAGAGAGAGAGAGAGAGAGAGAGAGAGAGAGAGAGATAAATCACCCACATAGGCAGTGGCAAAGTAACCTCTGTTCGACATTCTCTTGAAGGGTCTGGCAGGAAACAGACCTACTCAGAAACTGTCAAAGGAAGAACTGCCTTCCTCCTTGTTGGAAACTGCTGTGCTCAGAAGTCAAGTCTGGAAGAGGACATTTTCTAGGACAAAGTTCAGTGGTAGTTTAGTCACAACAATCCCATGCAATGCCTATTCCACTCTTCCTCTTCTTGCAGAAAGCAGAATGAGAGGGTTCCCCAGGAGTCTTCAGGATCTGGAAGCATGAGATCTGAGGTAGGCTTGTTGGATCCACTGAATAAAAGATCAAAACCTGCACAGCATCGACCGGTGCTTAGTAAGAAACCTAATATATAAAGAAGAATCTAGAACCTAAGAAAAACACAGTTGGCTTCGGCTTACAGATGAAAGTAAGAAGAGATTCAGCAGGTAGGTTAGCTCTCAACCTCAAAAGTAAGAGGCCTGATAAAACATATTCTTCAAGAAAAGGAAAGAGAAATCACTTGTTGCTATCAGATGAAATTGCTTATTTATGTTGCTTCCTTCATTTCATTCTTGATACAAAAGTGTATGTCTCTGTTGGATAGTAGGGTGAGAGCTGGGAAGAAGTCTGGATGATCACAGGTAAGCCAGGGAAACTGAAGGCAGGATTCTTAGTGTACTTCACTTCTCAGACACACCCATTGTGCTATCTCCTCCTTTCCAAAGGTCCTGGTGTCACTACAAATTTCCTCTGTCATGGTCTTCTTGTCCACATAGTGAGCAGATGAAGAATGCTTTCCAAGCTGGTGTTCAACTGTCGCCAACCCATATAAGCAAAGGAGATTACAGTGTGACTCCAATCTACAGACTTGACTCTGGGCATAAGCCTATGGACTGGCTTGTTTGTGTATCTTGGGGAAAAAATAGCATGCCAATTTACAAGCTGTGCTTCTGGATGAGTGAGTATGCAGGCAAAAAATGAGAGCTATGCAGCTGTACACACAGCTCAATACCCAGGAAATTGGGCCCATGGAAAGGGCAGAAGTGTTATGGTGTTGCCCTCCAGAGCTACCCATATCATCTAATGTTGTCAAGAGTCTAGTTAAGTCCTGACCACCTTGACCAAATTCAACTGTGAATTGTGTGGATGATACTGAGGTGTAGAATTTGCCTTCTGTGTGGTGCCTCTGAGAACATCCTATCTGGTGATAGGTATCTGGGGTGGGCAGAGCAGAGACAAATGTTCTGAGAAAAAAATGAGTCCAATGGGATTGCAAGTTTGAATTAGGGCAGGCTCATAGTGGTCTGGGAATCCTGGAGTGAGCCACCTCCAGCAGTTACAGAATCCCCAAAGCTAGGCCAGTATTGGGATTCCCTGGTGAAGGGTATGAAATAGCACTTACCATGGCATCTGACTAACTGGGATGTTTTGATCATATTCAGCTTTGTGGTACTGGAAGAGAGGGTGCAATCCCAGAGCTCTGTTTGCTTCTTTCTCAATGCAATGCTTCTTTTATACATCAGGGATCTCAAACACCATCAAGGTCCCAGTTCAGCGGTAAGTACAAGGTATTTACTGACCCATTTCCTACTCTCACCAGTAGACCAACCATTATAAAATCCATACTACACACCCACCCCGAGACCCCAGGACAGAATTTTCATTGACTTCATTGGCATTTTTGCCCACAGGTTTTGAGGCAAATGGGTATGGGGGGGATAAGAAGTCCTATTATGACTACTTACTTGCTTGTGACTCTGAGACTGACAGTACTAGGAAGGGCAACTCCAAGGCCAACAACTCTCCAGTCACCTCTTTCTTAGGTGCTTTGTAAATCAGCCTTACAAGTAAGGCCCCAACAGTATTTTCCCAGCCTGCTCTCCTCCAAGGAGAAACATGAGTAGCCAGAACAGTGATATCTTTTCTTTTTTTCTTCGCTAGGATAGAGGACTACTGGTGATCAATCAATTATCAAGAATTTATTAAGCACCTACTATGTGCTAGCCCCTGGCAGTTCCAAATGAGGAACAGAAGGATTCCTTGCAAAAGAACATGGAGATCATTTCTGCTTTGACTATTGGAACCAGGGATGAAAATTGATTGTTACGCTTTTAGTGAGCATTTATACCTTAGAAATCAGCAAATGCTACACATCAAGGCTTGACTTATTGTTTTGTTGATTGTCTAGACTTAAAGTGATGGAGAAAATGTTAATAATTAAGACTAAACTTGAAAGTGTTTTGTGCATGTATTTTCCACCCAGAGAGCTGGTTGTTAGACATTGACCAGCAAATCATTCATTGGAACTCAGTTTCCAGGAAGGGATATGCCACCTGGGGATAGGTTGTGATTTGCTCAATAGATTTTCAGGAAAATTCTAGTGTTTGCATTAGAGCGTTTAGGCAGATTTCTTCCATGGGTGTGTGTGTGTGTGTGTGTGTGTGTGTGTGTGTGTGTGTGTGTGTGTGTGTGTTTTGTGTGTCTGTTTTAAGGTAGATCTTAGTTAAGGAAGGAGAAGGGAACTGCCTGGACTACAATACAGATGAGTCAGATATTGCAAGTTCTAGGAAAGCCATTTTGTGAAGTCCAGAATAAATCAATGGAAAAGCTAGCATCCAGGATCCATTCATTTCTCTATGTCCTGGATTACTTCATGTGCAGGGGTTTATGCTATGCAAACAGTAGGTGCTTAATTAATGTTTTTTTTAAAAAAAATTGCATTCTTAGACTAGATTGATACCAGCAGGCACCAGGTAGCAGACTATAGACTCCTGAAGGAAGAAATTGGAGATGTTAGTGATAAGGAATGAGTTTCCTGTCCCAAGAAGAGAGTCTAGCAATCTTAAGACTGCAAAGAAGTAGGGGCATCTCAGAAAGGAGGCAAAACACACAGTATACTCCATTTAGTACTGAGAATTGAACAGCTGTCTTTGCCCTTTCTGGAACTGTCATGGAACTCGGACTTGCTATCTCACTCACCTGTTAAAACTCCCTTTCTCACGATTAGGGGAAGGAACTCTGACTTCTGAGGTTCTCAGAGTAACAGCTTAATCTCAAGCTACCCCAATCTCCTACCCCATCCTAAAGAGCTCTGCTGTGGAAAAATGAGGCTATGAGGATAAAATGTACAGATCATACACCCACATCTGTATGTGAAAAGGACTTGTAATGAGGAGACCCATTCCTGATTCTCCATAGGAAAAGTTTTTTTACATGGTCTTCAGTGGCTACTGGGCTGCCCTCCATCATTTGACCATTTTGTGTTACTCAGAACAGATTCTGTGCTAAATTTGAAGAGAGGGATGGCTGGGCTTCTCTCAGGGAGGATCTTCTCACTGAAGATCATCAATGTCTGGGATTTCAGTTGCCAGACAGTTTTTGCTGCCTGGTATTCAATGGCACCTCTAGTCCTGTGTGCAGAGTGACCTGGAGAAAGAAGAGGGGATAGCTATGGGTTATCCTGTTGTCCCAAATAGGGTATTTAAAGCAGTCTAGAAACCACAAGGATAGCAGCTGTAGTGATTTGTGACATGGGCCCAGAGAACACTCTCATTCCTTCCTTCTGAAATTGCCTTCTGTTTACACCACATGTATCTTGCTGGACAGTTATTTCCATATTGCCTTCCCCATTAGACATTAGACAATGTGAGTTCCTTGAGGATAGAAACTCTTTTTGCTTTTCTCTGTTATCTCCAGCCTCAATAGATAATAAGCTCTTAATAAATGCTTGTTGGCCAACTGACTGCTGTGTATGCAGAAGACCCAAGCATGAGAGGAAATTCTACTTCAACTGTGGACATGAGCATCAATAGAATTTGAGAGGTGGAAGGGACCCCATTGACCGTGTAGTCCACCATATACATACGTGAGAAGAATCCTCATTATAACCTACCTGACCAGTGTCTATCCAGTCTCTGCCTGAAGACCTCTAAGGTTTGGACAGCTCCAATTATTAGCAAGCCTTTTCTGATATTTAAACTGCTTCTTTGCAATGTCCAATCATTGCTCCTGGCAGTGTCCTCGGAGGTCAAACAGAACAAGTCCTATCCCTCCGTAAGGCTGCCCCTTTGGGGCAGCTAGGTAGTGCAGTGAGCACTGCCCTGCAGTCAGGAGGACCTGAGTTCAAATCTGGCCTCAGACACATAGCAGCTGTGTGACCCTGGCAAGTCACTTAACCCTCATTGCCTTAAAAAAGAAAAAAAGGACTGTCCTTCAAGTTTTTGAAAACAGTCATCATGTCTCTTCCTCTGTACTCGCCTCCAAATCTTCTCTCCTCCAGGGAGGTCAACATGCCCAGGTTCTGGTGCTTCACTGTGCTGGTTGTTCTCCTCTGGGCACTCTCCACTTAACCATGTCAAGTCAACAAACTTAAATATGTGAAGCACTTATTATGTATCAGGCACTATGCTAAGCAGTGGGGATAACAAGAATGAAGATGTAGCACCCAGAACTGAGTCCTAGAGAGGGGTACTGAACATAGCACTCCTGGTGAGACATGACCAGAACAGAGAGTAGGCCTGTCTTTTCCTGGAAGATATGTCTCTCTTAATACTGTCCAGGACTGAAGCAGAATTTTTGGCTGCCACATTATGCTGCTGACTCTTCTCGAGGCTTCAGTCCAATAAAACACCTATATCCTTATCAGAACAATTGCTGTTTAACTGTGCCTCCCCTACATGGTACTGGCGATGTTGATTTTTCCCCCATTTGAGTATCAAACTTTACCCTTTTTTATTAGAGTCAACCCAATGCTCTAGCCTGGCAGTATCCTTTTGGATCCTAGTTCTCATCTTGTGTTTTAGCTATTCCATTCAAACTGGGTCATCTGCAAATTTCATGAGCCTACCACCTATGCCTTTATCCAGGTCGCTGATAACAATTTTAACACATGGGGCCAAATAGAGACCTCTGAGGCACTACAATGGAGATCGGTCACATCGACATTGAACCACCAAAACCTGCTCTTTAAGTCTGGCTCTGACTCCATCAATCAACCGGGTCTGACTCCATATAATCATAGTATCATCTAATCAATATCTCTCTATCTTCTGCACAAGATTAGCATGACATGTAGTAGGAGCTTTGCTAAAATCTAAGTAAAGGTTGGGCCCACACCCACATATTTTACTTTTACCTCCTCTGCCTCGCTGACATTTTTTGGGGAAATGCCTCTAACCTTGTACCTGATGGGACTTGGCTTCCACATGTCATCATCATTCATGTGAGGCTTACATTTAATCCTGGTGGTTCCCAAAGAAAGGTTCTCCTCCTAGTCCATGTGAGAGCCATAGGAAATGTAGTAGGGGAGGAGGACACTAGGGAAGATCTCCCTCTGTTCAAATAGTCTCCTATAATTATTTTCTTCTTTACATCACTCTCAAAGGGCAGGCACATGAAATAGCATATCAGCACATCTGAGACATACAATTAAAAATCAGTACTCAGGAAGGTCTCCATAACTAGGGAGGTGGTGTGTATGATACAGTCTGAGAAAGGAAAACACTATCACTTGCTCCAACATTTCCATCAACTTCCCCGGGTCGGTAGCTTCAGTGAACTAAAACACCACTGTGTCTCTAATACAGTGGTTTAGAACTCTAATAGCTGTATAGAAACAGCTATTTCCTTCCTCTCTGGGTGGAAAAAAACAAAACGTGTGTTGGGCATCATTCCTTCCATCATCAACAACATCCAAGAGGCAGGATTGGTTTCAAAGACAACCGTGTGGGCTGGAGCAATGTAGGACTTTATTTACAGGTAGGGTCCCTGAGCTGAGTCTCCAGACCAGTTTGGGACCCAAGGAATTCACTATACCTGAACATTCCGGTTGAGGCTGACAGCTGGCATGAAGACCCCATCTACATGGTCAAAGGCAGTAGGACCCTGTTGTTGCCCATTGATATAGAAGGTCAGAGTATGCTTATTCAGATCCAGAAGTACACCAACTGTAGCCCCTTTAAATACACCACCTTCAGTCCTAGGAGAAACCCAACAAAACCCAGTTACCAATGCTGACCTTACATTGTTGGAGAAATAGATGATCACAGAATCATAGAGTTAAGGCTGGAAGGGACCTCAGAGTCCATCTATAACTTACTCATTTTACAGATCAGAAACTGAGACCCAGAGTTAAGTGACTCTGCATTGTTTATAAAGCAATACAGGAGTGTGCTGGTAAATGTTTAATAATTGGGCTGCAGAGGGGGGGGGAGAAATGTATGCACAAACCTTCAAGTTTAATATATATTTAACACTTTCTTAAATCTAGACAATCAATAAAACAATAAATGAAGCCCTGATTTGCAGCATTTAGCAATTCCAAAGCGTAAATGCCTACATTGAAAATTTCACAATCAGCTTTAGCAAGTCAGTTAGTAAACCCCTGATGAAATCTCAGCATAAGACATTCAGTCCTTTGGCTTTATTCAACTGAAATCAATTCAACTAATCTTTAAGTACCTACTGTACATCAAGCTTGGTGCAAGGCAATTGGATTAAAAGATTTTTTTTTTTGAAGTCACAGTCCTGGGGCAGCTAGGTGGTGCAATGGATGGAGCACTGGCTCTGGAGTCAGCAGGACCTCAGTTCAAATCTGTCCTCAGACACTTGACACTTACTAGCTATGTGACCCTGGGCAGGTCACTTAACCCCAATTACCTTGAAAAAAAAAGTCACAGTCTCTGTCCTCCAGGAGTCAAAAATCAGGTGAATAACCAGATGTAGTCACAAATAAACATTATCTATTAAAATATAATTAAGGAAAGGGCAGTGTGGTACAGTAGAAAGCATCCTGGATTTGGAGTCAGAGGATTTAGGTATAAATCACACTACTCTGCCCCTTATTTGCCCATGTGACCTTGAGCATATTACTTAATTTCTGTGGACCTAAGTTCCTCAACTGTAAATCTCCGCTCCCAACTACATTCTGTGTGCCTGTAACATGGGAGGGCAAAGGGTGGTCCAAATCAAGTAATAGGCCCAAGAGATTCAAGGGATCACTTTTAATTGGGAGAAAGGGAGAATCACAGAAGTCTTGAAGGAGGTGGCACCTAACCTTGGACTTTTAAGAATGAAGATTTCAACAGGTAGCAGTGGGAAGTTACCTCAAGGCATGGTGTTAGCAAATCTATAGAGGTACAAGAGTGAGCAGATGAAATCAGTGAGAAACAAATAGTAACTTGGCCAGAGCACAGAGTGTGTGAAAGGGAGCCGTGTAACATAAAGCTGGAAAGCCATGTTGGAACCAGGCTGTTGAGGAACTTGAAAAACAGGCTAAGGAGTTTCTATTTCATTTTTAAGCACTAATGAATTACTGAAGGTTTTTTGATCAGGAGCCTGACTTTATGATACCTATGAATTAGAAAAATTACTTTGGTGATTCTGTGAAGGATGGTGAGGTAAAGGTAATGACTAGAGTCAGAGAGGTCATTGAGGAAGCCATTATAGTCTAGGAAATAGCATAGTCCGAGTAACAAGGGCTAGAACTAGGGTATTGACAATGTGAGTAGAGAGAAAGGCATAGGGTATGAAAGATGTTGTAGAACAGAGGTGTCAAACTGTGGGAAACAGATTAAAATGTATTTGGGAAACATTTAACAAAATAAATTAAAATATAATAAAACACATGTAATGTTAATATGCCCCTCCTGGATCATTGCCTTATTGGTAAAGGCAATGTAGCTCAAATTAAACTAAGAGCTATTCCAGGCAGGGTTCCCAAGATGGGAAAGTCCTGACAAAAGATGATCCACTGGATAAGGAAATGGTAAATCACTCCAGTATCTTTGCCAAGAAAACCCCATGGACAATATTAAAATGATCAAAGGTATGATGCCAGAAGATGAGCCCCTCAGGTGGGAAGGTGTCCAACACATCACTGGGGAAGAGAGGAGGACAACTACAAGTAGCTGCAGAAAGAATGAAGCAGCTGGGTCAAAGCTGAAAGGAAGCTCAGCTGCAGATGTGTCTGGTGACTGAAAAAAGTCTGATGCTATAAAGATCAATATTGCATAGGAATGTGGTAAGAGCTAGAAACCAAGGTAAGCTGGATGTGGTCGATAGGTAATAGATTAAATATCAGCATCTTGGGTGTCAGTGAACTTGAATGGATGCGAATGGGTGAATTTAATTCAGATGATCATTACATATACAACTGTGGGCAAGAATCCCTTAGAAGAAATGAAAGGAGCCCTCATAGTCAATAAAAGGGTGAGAAAAGCAAGTACTGGGCTATAATCTCAAAAATGACAGAATGATATCTGTTTGAGTCCGAGGCAAACCATTCAACATCATAGTGATAAAGTCTATGCTCCAACCACTGATGCCAAAGAGGCCAAAGTTGATCGATTCTATAAAGACCTACATCATCTTCTAGAAATAACACCAAAAAAAGATGTCATATTTGTCATAGTGGATTGGAATACTGAAGTAGGACATCAAAAGATAGTTGTAAAAACAGGCAAGTTTGGCCTTGGAGTACAAAATGAAGCAGGGCAGATACTAAGAATTTTGTCAAGATAACTCACTAGTCATAGCAAACACTCTTTTTCAATAGCACAAAAGGCAACTCTGCACATGAAAATCACCAGATGGTCAATATTGAAATCAGATTGACTACATACTTTGCAGCCACAGCTGAAGAAGCTCTATACAGTCAGTTAAAACAAGATCTGGAGCTGACTGTGGCTCTGATTATGAGCTTCTTATTGCAAAATTCAGACTTAAACTGAAGTAGGGAAAACTATCAGACCATGTAGGTATGGCCTAAGCAATATGCCTTATGAATATGAAGTAGAAATGATGACTAGATTTAAGGATTAGATCTGGTAGATAACAGTACCTGAAGAAATATGGACAGAGGTTCACAGTATTGTACAGGGGGCAGCAACAAAAAACATTCCAAAGGAAAAAGAAAAGCAAGAAAGCAAAATGGCTGTCTGATGAGGTTTTACAAATAGTTGAAAGAAGGAAAGTGAAAAGTAAAGCAGAAAGGAAAAGATGCAGAATTCCAGAGGCTAGCAAGGAGAGATAAGAAGGTTTTCTTAAATGAGCAATGCAAAGAAATAGAAGAAAACAATAGGATGGGAAAGATGAGATCTCTTCAAGAAAATTAGAGATATTAAGGGATATTTTCATGCAAAAATGGGTATGATAAAGGACAAAAATAGTAGAGAAGTAACAGAAGTATAAGAGATTAAGAAGAGGTGGCAACAACTACAGAAGAAAGATGTTAACATCATCGATAACCACGATGGTGTGATGACTGATCCAGAGCCATACACATCTTGGAGAATGAAATCAAGTGGGCCTTAGGAAGCATTACTAACAATAAGGCTAGTAAAGATGACAGACTTCCAGCTGAGCTATTTAAAGTACTAAAAGATGATGCTGTTAAAGTGCGGTGCTCAATATGCCAGCAAATTTGGAAAACTCAACAGTGGCCACCAGATTGGAAAAGATCAGTTTATGTCTCAATCCTAATAAGGGCAATGCCAAAGAATGTTAAAATTACCAAATAACTGTGCTCTTTTCACATGCCAGCTTAAGATTCTGCCAGCTAAGCTTCAGCAATATATGAACTGAGAATTACTATAATTGGTGATTTTTTTTGAAGGGGCAGAGGCCTTTGAAGAGGAATTAGAGACTGAATCGCCAAATTGCTGGATTATGAGAAAGCAAGGGAATTCCAGAAAAACTTCTGCTTCTTTGACTACACTAAAGCCTTTGACTGTGTGGATAACAACAAAATGTGGCAAGTCCTCAAAAAGAAAGGAGATCATCTTACTTGTCTCCTGAGGAACCTGTATGTGGGCCAAGAAGAAACATGGAACAACTCATTGATTTAAGATTGGTAAAGGAGAATGACAAAGCTGTATATTGTCACATTATTTAACTTATATGCAGAGTGCATCATGCAAAATGCCAGACTGAATGAATTAAAAGCCAGAATTATGGTTGCTAGGAGAAAAATCAACAATTTAAAAAAACTTAAGGCCAATTTCTCAGATAAAGGTCTCAAAATCTCAGACATATAGAGAACTTTGCCAAGTTTATAAGAATACAAGTCATTCCTCAATTGATGAGTGATCAAAGGATATAAACAGGCAGTTTTTTGATGAAGAAATTAAAACCGTATATAGTCATATGAAAAGATGCTCTAAATCATTATTAATTGGATAAATGTAAATTAAAGCAACTTTGAGACATCATTTTACACCTACCAGATTGGCTTAAATGATAGAAGTGAAAAATGACAAATGTTGGAAGGGATACGGAAATACTGAGACACTAATACACTCTTGGTGGAACTGTGAACTGATCCTACCATTTTGGAGAGCAATTTGAATTCATGCCCAAAGAGTTATAAAACTGTATATATACCCTTTGACCAAGCAGTACCACTATTAGGTCTGTTTCCCAAGGTGATCAGGGAAAAAGGAAAAGAACATATGTGTTCTAAAACATTCATAGCAGCTCTCTTTGTGGTAGCAAAGAACTGGAAATTGAGGGAATGCCCATCAAGTGGGGAATGGCTAAACAACTGTGATGGAACACTACTATGCTGTGAGAAATGAGCAGGCTGAGGTTAGAAAAAAACATGTAAAGACTTGCATGAAAAAATAGAGTGAATGAACAGAACTAAGAATGTTGTAAACAGTAACAACAATTATTCAAAGAATAACTGAATAACTAAGTTGTTCTGAGTATTATAAATACTTAAATCAACTATAAAAGAGCTATAAAGGAAGATACTGTCCACCTCCAGAGAAAGAACAAATAAATGAAAGTGTGCATAGTATGGCTTTACATATATTTTTATATATACACATATGTGTGTATGTCTATATCTATGTCCAATGGTGGCCTTCTCTAGTGCAGGGTGGAGAGGGAGGGAGAGAGACAGTTTGGAACTTAAAGTGTAACAAAAATATAAATAAAATTTAAGAAAAGAAAAGAGAAGCCAAAACAAAAAGAAAT